AGCATATTACCAACAAATTTACTAATACTAAGTAAATCCAGTTTTATTCAGATGCTAGTAATTTTCCCTTCCTACAGTAAAACTTGCACATTACTGAAACTGAAATTCTATTGCTATAATAAAATATGTATCTTTTAAAACATCATGTATGTTTAACATGATAGTTAGTCAACACAACAAATCAATTAACCAGTTAATCAATGGGATCGCAGTAAGACTGAGTGCAGGGGGAAATAGTTAGAGTAAAAATGAATGGTTGGTTATCACATGGCAGCAGAGAACTTGCACTGGAATGTAGCCAAGCATTTCCAGACTTAATAATAATAGTTGACAATGTTGGTAGAGGTTTTTTTCCCCCACAATAATGTCTTGTCATATTTTAAAGAAGACTGGGTGAGGGTATTAGTTTTCATAAATCTGAACATCTTATTCAGCCCCAACTATTTTTTTTTACCAAAGTTTTAGGGGTTGGTATGTGTGGTGGTAGGAGCCGTTCCCGAGGATTGGAAGCACCGGGGACAAACCCTGACACTCTGGGACGTAGACCAGGGGACCTTGTCCCCAAAAACTTACCCAAGAGGCAGGCTAGGTTGGCAGGTGGTGTGAGCCATTGCTGCACTTTCTTTTCAAGCAGCTCTTGAACTCACCAGCAGCCGACTGATGACATCAGCTGCAGCCACCGCAGAGGATTTAAAAATGCCAGCCCTGAAGAAAATAGGTGAGGGCAGTGTCTGGGAGCCAGACAAGTCTCATCGACCCCAGGCTCCACAAGAGCAAGCATAGGGTCAGCCACCAACCTCAGTGCATGGACAGGGTTTATTCAACCCTGAGCTTGCGGAGGGCACTGTAAGTATTAGCCCTGCACTGGGGCCAAGCAAGGTGAAGGACTCGGAGCAAAGTGCAGGCTGCAACCATGATCCTGCACTGTGAACAGAGTCTGGGGGTCCCTCAGCTGGAGAAGATAAGCCAGGACCACAGGCTGACACAGCAGCATAACAACTCAAACAGTTGGTGAGTGGACAGGGTATAGGGGAGGTGGAACCCCAGGACCAACTGCAACAAGGCAGTGAGTACCCCCGTCTCTGGGCCTGAGCTTGGAACACCACTGAACCCCTCCTTTTCAGTTAAAATTCCATCAAGTTGTGGCAGGAGAGTTGGGGGGGCCTGTCCCAGGGAGCGCAGAGATACTCATGGTATCTACCGAGATCATCACAGTATGTCACTATTTTTTTTTTTTTAATTATAAAGTTAAATATAGATCCTGGAAAAATTGAACTAACAAAAAAACCAAACAAACCCTGAGCTGAGTGCAAGAAGTTGTTTCTAATCTAAAGACCACTTACATGGGCCATGAGTGAGCCCTGTATGACCAGAGGCGAGATGGATCCCATGGAATTTGCAGGTTTCTTAATTTAAAACCCCATACTTTCCCAGCCACATGCACATGCCTTTATAAGGGCAGTTTAACACCTCACAGAAATCCTATCTAGGACCTTTGGGCTGCCTGGAATATCATAGAAGTAGGGTCTGAAGGGACCTTGTAGATCTTCAAGTCCGACCCCCTGCCTGGGCAGGAGGAAAACTGGACTCAATTGACCCCAGCCAGGTAGGCATCAAGCTGCTGCTTAAAGACTCCCAGGGTAGGAGCCAGCACCACTTCCCTTGGAAGTTCATTCCAGATCCTAGCCGCCCTTACTGTGAAGTAGTTCTTACGGATGTCTAATCTAAACCTACTCTCCAACAACTTGTGGCCGTTATTCCTTGTTATCCTGGGGGGTGCTAGGGGAAACAAGGTCTCCCCAAACCCTTCTGGTCCCCACTAGTGAGTTTATAGACGGTCGCCAGGTCCCCCCTCAGCCTTCTCTTGTGAAGGCTGAACAGGTTCAGGTTCTGTAGCCTCTTGTTGTAGGGTCTGCCCTGCTGTCCCTGGATCATGCGGGTGGCCCTCCTCTGGACCCTCTCAATGTTGTCCACATCCCTCTTGAAGTGGGGTGCCCAGAACTGAACACAGTACTCCAGCTGTGGCCTGACCAGTATCGCCTAGAGGGGGAGGATCGCCTCCTTGGACCTACTTGAGATGCACCTGTGGATGCACGATAAGGTCCGGTTAGCCCTGCCGACTGTGACCTCGCACTGTCGGCCCATGTTCATCTTGGAGTCAATAATGACCCCAAGATCCCTTTCTGCCTCCATGCTCTCAAGAAGGGAGTTTCCCATCTTATAAGTGTGCTGCTGGTTACTACTGCCCAAGTGCAGCACCCTGCACTTGTCAGTATTGAAACGCATCCTGTTTTTGTTAGACCACCCTTGCAACCTATTCAGGTCTTGCTGCAGTCTCTCCCTCCCTGCTAACGTGCCCACCTCCCCCCAGGTCGAATATGACTCATCCACCACCACCCCCTGAGTATGCCTCTTCAGCCAATTTGCAATCCATCTGACCGAGTAGGCATCAATGCCACAGTCGCCTCATTTTTTAATGAGGATGGGGTGTCAAAGCCCTTGCTGAAGTCCAGAAAGACTACATCCACGGCGACACCTACATCCACTGCTTTTGTGACCTGATCATAAAAGGCAATCAGGTTGGTCTGACATGACCTGCCCCTAATGAAACCGTGCTGGTTGCCCTTAAGCATCATCCCCAAATGTGCTCCTTGATGATCTTCTCAAAGAGTTTCCCCAGGATTGAGGTAAGACTGACAGGCCTATAGTTGCCTGGGTCCTCCCTCCTCCCTTTTTTAAAGATGGGGACCACATTGACTATCTTCCAATCATCTGGCACCTGGCCCAAGCACCATAAGCATTTGTAAAGCCATGCCAAGGGCCTTGCAATAACCCCTGCTAGCTCCGCCAACACCCTGGGGTGGACAGCATCTGGACCTGCTGATTTGAACATGTCCAGCCCCTCCAGAAGCACTCTAACTCGGTCTTCCTCAACCTTAGGTCTTGAGGCATTCCCCTCGAGTCTGTCTTGAGTAGTCATTTACACCTTGGGTAAAATGAGTAGGAAATGCCAAAATTCTTCAAGTATTAAATGGTAGCATTTTACCTACACTTTGAAAGTAACTATACAAGGTACCAAGAGTGTGGGAAAATGCCTCAAATGAACCCACTCGATGCACCCAGGGGATCAGTGGACAATGATAGGAGCAAGCCCAGGAAGTGACAAACATGTAATCAGCAGGTCAGAATATACATTCAAACTTACTCTGACCCCAGCCCAAGGACAGAAGACGAGACTCTCCTAAATGCTTGAAGAAGCCTATGGCTTTTGATGGCAGGCTTTTCTGTCTCTACATGAATGCCAGGAGCATGGGGAACAAACAGAAGAAACTGACCCTTCTGCTAAGCAATAACAAATATGATCACATAGGGATAATGGAGATCTGAATGAGAGACAGCCAACATGGCTTTGTTACAGGTAGGTCATACCTGACCAACCTCATCGCCTTCTATGACCAAATGAAACATCACCTGGACAGGGGAGGAGAGGCTGATGTCATTTACTTGGATTGCAAAAAAGCCTTTGATTTAGTCTCCCGTGTTGTCCTCATGGCAAAATTGGGGAACTGCTGCCTTGACAACTTTACAGTCCGATGGCTGGGGAACTGGCTCCATGGTCAGACCCAGAGAGTGATTGTCGATGGAACTGAATCAACATGGCTCATGGTGGATCAATCAAAACCTGATGACTTTCAACATAGAGAAATGCAAGGTGCTCCACCTCAAGAAAAAGAACCCACATCATAGGAGTACTGCATCCAGTTCTGGGCTCCACACTTTAGAAAGGACGTGGAGAAGCTTGAGAGTCCAGAGGAGAGCCACACGCATGATCAGAGGTCAAGAGAGCAGGCCTTATGGGGAGAGGCTGGGAGGCATGGGACTCTTCAGTTTGGAAAAGCATAGGCTCCGGAGGGGCTTGGTGGGCGCCTACAGTTATATCAGGGGTGTGCATCAGGATCTGGGAGAACATCTGTTCTCCAAGGCACCCCAAGGGAAGACAAGGTCCAAAGGTCACAAACTGCTGGAAAACTGTTTTAGACTGGACCCAAGGAAAAACTTCTTTACTATCCGAGTTTCTGGAGTCTGGAATAGACTCCCCTCAGAAGTGGTGCAAGCATCTACTCTGGACATGTTCAAGAAGCGTTTGGGTGATTATCTTGTTCATTTGACCCTAGCTGACTTTCTGCCCCTTGGGCAGTGGGCTGGACCTTATGATCTCGCCAGGTCCTTTCCAGCCCCAATGTCTATGAAATTTCTAGCTCCATAGAAAGAACTAAAGAATGGCATACTACAGTCTGCAGACTACTTTACCTTAGGATAGGTGGTCTTAGTTTTTTTCCTGGCATGGTGGAGAGTGGGCAATCTGTCAGCCACAAAACAGAGAAACAAATCTACCCAAACTGCCCTGCCATATGGGTTCAGTACAAAGGGCAGGAGTCTAAATATGTGTGTGGCGACATTTCACAAATCTAATAATAATACCTTATATTTATCTAGCATTCTTCATCCAGAAGTAGACCCCAAGGTGATTTATGGACTATGAAAACATTAATACGTGTATATGGATCACTACACTCACCACTGAAATACAGCCACATCCAGGTGGAAATGGAATGTAGTGCCCCATCAGCATCAGGGAAATTAGACCTCCCTCTTGCAACAGGGGAAGTGAAAAACAAACAGTTTATAAAATTAAAACAGGATGACAAACACTCATATGAACCTTTTGATGTCTCATCTGAAAAAGGGAACCCCTCGTATTTCTATCACTGTTGGTTTTCTCTTTAGACTCATTTCTGCAGTGGGGTTGCCATCAAGTCAGAATTGCTATTTGAATAGTCCAAAGTATCCAAAGTTCTGCTAAATGCAACAGAAAATTAATCATATTAATTCCACTGTTGTTACAATGGGAGACAAGGCGAAAAGAAAAAGGCCAAACTCCAAAACTGAAAAACAAAATCAGGCTCCAAGAAATCATGATTATCTTTCAGATCATGAGGTTTCTTTAAATAACAAATGTAGAGTTTATTTGTGGCTTTTTTTAACCCTTAGGATTTACATTTTTCATGCTCAGCTCCCAAACGGTGGGGCTATAAATCTATTTTTGTAATAATGAAAGCTGCAATTCTGGTATAATCATATGCCTCCAGGGCTGAGGGGTTTAAAAAAGACAGTCGATATTGACAAGCTTTAGATAAAATTCCAGGAGTTGACAGCCCTGAGAAAGGAAGCAGGAGACAGAGACAGGCAGAAACATTGTACAGGAGTGTAAGAGAGGACAATAGGGAGGTGAGAAGACACAAAGACATGCATAACAACGACTAAGAGATAGCAAAGTGAGGAGGGAAGTGGGATCGGGAGGAGAAAAACATAGGAAATTCAAATCCCGATTAGAAGTCCTATTCACATGCAATCAAATTATCTCCGTCCCTACGCAAGACGGTGTCAGTGTAATGCCTCGCGCATCAATCAGCCCGCTGTTTGTGCATGTTTAAGCGTGCGATGACAGTTCAGATCCCTTTATCCTCGGAAACTGCCAATCATCCCCTCACCGGCTTGTTTCTCTTGCAGGGAGTGTGCTCGGAATACGATTTTTCCGGGGGGCGGCGCAGCTCTGAAGCAACAAGTAGCGACCTTTGATGTCTGGCTCTTCTGCCAGCCCCCGCCCCCTCAGCCGAGCCCAGCCGAGGCGCTCCTGAGGGAAGGGGTGTTTACTTGCAGGAAATACTCGGCTTTTATGTAGTCCTGCTCGCTTTCAAGGGACTTCACTAAGTGGCTAATTCATTCATTCCCCCAACAGCGCTGATCCCGGCGTGATTGATGAAGAAATCAGACACGCGCCTTTTAAATGCCTTGCCGGGAGCCCCGCTGGTTTTGGGAGGCGGCAGCCGCGCCGGTCCCGCAGAAGGGGCGAAATTCCCTGCCAGAGAGGGGCGAGCCCGTCTCGTGGGAAGTAGAGGCCCTGGCTCAAGTCCTCGCTCCGGTCCTGGAAACACCCTCCGTGAATCGAGCAGCAAGGAGTCCCCTGCTGAGCTCTGCCCCTTCCGCCCAGCCGGCACGAGAGGGGCAGACCCGGCCACGGCTCCAGCCTCCCTCCCTCCCCGGCGCTGGGCGCGGGCC